TTCATCTAATGAACACAAAAAAGATCACACCCGGTTTTATCTTAGTTGCACACACACAGTAAGGACAAAAGGAAATCATAAATTTAATATTCACTGTTCAGGTTTGTTGCAAACAATACACCTGTTCGGTCAACTTTCCCGATAGGATGCTACTTTTAAATTTACACTTCTTTTCAATTTCCATCAAGCCTAGAACATAAAACGAGTGCCTAAAGGAAACGAGATGGAATTCAGACCCTCGATTAAGATTCTGTCTTGTAGCCAAGGAAACAAATTTTTACACCGCTCAACTTTTGATAGACCGCTCTTATTATGTCAGTGAACCAATTATTTCATTACTGAACCAACACTTTGGCTACGAATTAATCATTGATGTCATTAAACATATGTTCACTAGCATATGTCAGGCACAATCTTCAACCATTTTGATTGAATCATGTTTTCGATTATAACAGTTTGTGTTTTGTTTGTCATATAAATTTGTCGTTAGGACTGAATATTAACGGCAATATACACAGCAGAACCTGGCGTTAATTAATTTGCTGTGTTCCATTGACAGTCTGATTGATGGACGATTAAATATTTTTTGGGTCAAAGGAAAAGTCACCTTGTCCATGAGACAATTCTGTTTATAGAAGATTTAAATTCAGTTTTCATTGTCAACTCTAAAGTACAACTCAAAAGAATTCACGCTCGTTTACCCAAGGGAAGTGGCAAAAAAGAATTGTGACCAGCAAGTGGTGACATATCAGGTGAAAAGTGTTTGTTAGCTACAAAATTTAAACCAGGCATTTTATGACTTTTGCATCCAAATCTTTGCATCATTAGACACATGTGTCCTGTTGTGTGTTTTAAAACGAGTTAACCTCAATTAGCTGTACAGATTAATTGTCTTCTGATTGGAAATTTGTCTGTGTAAAGATTGAATAACCAGCATTAATAACCTTAAACCCCGAAATACTTCAGCATTGATGGTTGCATTTGCTTAAACTGAACCCATCCCACGGGTGTGTGTATTTTGAAATTGGAAGCAGCAAAAAACTCTTGTAATATGAATATTGTTTGTTACGGTGATCAGATACAAATTTTTATCAAGTTTCAGTCATATTCAGAATAGATGTACAAAGCTGTAACCAATGTTCACTCTTCAACATGATAATGAATTTGATGGATTAATGGATTAGTACCATCAAATGCGTCTTCATAACAAGATGCTTCGTAACTCCCCTCTACAATTTTTTTTTAATTATACTACAAATTAATTTGTATATTAAAAAAAGCGCCCTGCAATTTAAATTTGGTACCGGTACAAAAACAAATTTAGTCTTTGTGTCAAAATAAATTCTTTCAACTGAAAATACCATCCAGATTTAATTCTTATTTTTGGTCTTTGGGACAATGCTATAGGAATTGTCAGCTCAGTTTTGCATATTTAAACTAAACTATATCTCTGTGACTGTTTCATTTTATTCTACGTTAATGACTTAATTCCCTATATCGATTTAGGGATTGAAAATACACATTTTTGAGCCAACAAAACAGTTGAGGTTCTTTTGCATTATATAATCCTCATGTCTCATCATTCAATATAACTTTTTCATTTCACTAATTTGCAGATTTCCACACTATTCGATGCCATTGACTGTGTCTTTTGGTTCATTAACTTACATTTTCTCGCATTCCTCAGCACTTGGTTCACCTTAGCTCATGCTCCAACAATATTCTTTGTCTTGTAGCACTACTACACATTGATTTCCAATATTTTAATTTTTTCCTTTTCATGCAATTCCAAGATTTTTAATGGAATTTCTTTTATGTCCGTTGAAAATCAGTTTTTGAATATTCACTTAATAAAGCCACTGCTAAACATATTTTGTTCAAATAATATTTTGTTCATTGCGTCCAGCCATTTAATACATAATTTATAACCCAACTAGGTTTTTTATTTCAGAAAAGCAGCCCTATCCATTATATGATCAATCCTTATAGACTCTTAGTTGTACAAAAATGCTCTAATTTATTTTTAGTATGACTTTTCTAAAAATGGTTGCTATTGATGATAAGGTTAGCATAATGTTCAATAGTTCAATGTTTTTAAGAGTAAAACATTCTTAGTAATGAAAACGAAGAAGAAATACTTACTTGTATTGTTTTAAAAAAGTATAACAAATTTTTATATTCTGAGAACAAAAGTTGCGACACTAGTTTATTTTACAAGGGGGGATGGCAAAATGTCTAAAGCGATTCAAAGAAAAAATATCTCTCGTTACTGTAATAATGGTACTGAATTCTATTGTACATAACAAATAACAAATTTAGAAAACTGAACATTTAATCTATGGAATTTAAGTTCACTAATTTAACAAATACACATTCCTACAAAACAGATACACAAACTAAAGAGGGTGATTTTCTTTCCAATAAGTGGGCAAATACTTTAAAAGTGACATTTCCTTTTCTAAAGCATGTAATAAAACATATTTTTGTAGAACCCAAGTTAAAGTATTCTCGTATTTGCCCACTTTTAGAGAGGAAAGGCTAGCGTAAAATATCAATAAAACACACCTTCCCAAATTATTTTGTTTTTTTTTACACAGTCCACTAAAGTTAAAGTACATGAAGTAGAAGATCTGGTGGGCCTTCGGCTTCATCCTGAGATTAAGCGACTAACAACTACAGAATTGTAGTTTGAAAAGAAATTAAAGCAGACGTCACTTGATAAAACAATAACAATTGTAAAACTACCACAAAAATATACAAAAGGAAAAATCTGCAAAATATTACAGCAGTGAGATAGATAATTTACTTAACAGCATTAAACATACAAAAAATAGTTGCTGCACCGAGCTGATTAAACTAGACAATTAGTATTCGACCATTTGAAGCATAAACTGCAAAATACAATCTATTCAGAAATTGATTAATTAGCCAAGTCTGATACTTATCCATAAGTATGTACTTATCATAATTAAAATCCTTAACAGGTAAAGATAATTGTATTAACTGAGCATTTTACAACCATACAACATTTTGTAAATTGCCCTTACGTTATTAAAAGAATGAAACATAAACTAATTTTTAGGGATGGTCAAGTCTCGAAATTTTGGGAAATTTTCGGGAAATTTTCAATCTCGTTACACGAGACGAGATTACTTTTTGGCCGAGATTTTTATCGAGACGAGAATAAAAAAAAAAAAAAAAAAAAATTAAAAACGCCTGTAAAAAGTCAATGCAATACCCGCAATACAGGAGCGTGTTGTAGTTGCGTTTCCTTTTCGGAGGCGTTCTTATTTAATTAATTCTTTTAATGTAAATATTACTTTAATTCTTTTAATGTAAATATTACTTTCATTATTTTAATAATATTACTTTAATAACATTTGAGAAGTTTTGTTAAGTGTAAGCAGTGTGAGGAATGTTTTATTACTATAAAAAAAGTCAAAACAAGTAACTATTTTATAAAAATTAATATTGCTTTTATTTTATGATTTATTTTATTTTAGGATAAGTTGAACTCTATCCTAACTGAAATCACCATGTTTCCTAATCGTAGGCATTTTTAATAAGTTAGGCGTGATTAATAAAAAAATGTTATGCTGATGTTATTTAATGAAAGATTGTAAATATTCTTGCCTATTATCATTATTTTAGTATTTAAACAGTCATCTAACAATGTTACAAAATCAGGTAAAAATTTCGAACGTGCATTTCCCGTTGTGTATGAGAAGAGAAATCTCGTCTCGATCTCGTCTCGAAATTTTATGAGAAATAAAAAATCTCGTCTCGTCTCGTCTCGAACTAAAAATCCAATCTCGTCCATCCCTACTAATTTTACAATATTGATTTGACGAATAGTTGAATTTTACAAATAAATGTTTGGTTTGTAATCCAAAGTAAAAATGAATCAGTATAGAAAAAAATATTATTAAACAATATTAACATAGCAAACACATACTATGCAAAGTATTATTTCAAATGCTTGTTTTAAAAATTGAATTTAAATTATAAAAGTATCTACACCAAATTAAATCAATTATTTCTCAATGTTATATTTTTATTTTAATGGAAATACCATATTTGAGAATGTACAATGAAGATTTCCAAGCCAGAAAAAATACTTTTAACTATAAAACTAAATCGCAAACCCTTAAAGAATATAGATAACTATGCCATCAACAAAATCAGTGGTAATGCAATATATCCTAGGAACTATAATACATAAGATGATAGCTCAAAACAAAACATGATAAATATTTTCATATGACTAGTTTAGTGAATTAAATTTATGAGTTCCATATTAAACAAGTAATACAATTAAACAGCATTCGGTAGATGATATCTCAAATGTAAAAATGCAAAGCATACATATATTTTAGCATACTCATGCTCATTTGAGAATAACTAATTTGTAACAAGTAGCCAACCAAATGACATTAATACATATTATTGAGAGGCCTAAACAGCTTAATTTTTACCAAGAACAAAAATTTTAAATATTTAGCTTATTCCATAAATGCCCCTTTGGCTAACACAAGCTGAATTGTACATGCCTGATCTATTATTGATGAATTTGAAAAAAAAGATTAATAACAATAATTTGAATAACCAATATTTCAACAGACATTTTTGTTAAAACGGTTTTCCTTATTTCAAAACCATAATTTGAATAACCACAACCCCTAAAACAATTACAAACACCGTAAAATCAGTAACTCATACATTTTGGTGCAGCAACCCAACAAACATAAAACGTTTAACAGTAGTTTTAAATCTCTTACACTATTACAACTAACCCTTTGCGGTTGAATCAACTAACCCTTAGAGGTTGAATGTAGGTTATGTCTACAATATGCAAAAAAACACAAGGTTATTATGGAAATTAATCATAAACATTCAAAATACCTCAAGACAAACATTAAAAGAATAGTGATACATTCACCAATGTACTCATAAATTAGATGTTCGAATGTTACAAAAATAAAATTATGGCCTAAGGCCTATGCATATTCATCACGAAATAATAACTTGGGGCGTTCTCGACATCATTTCAACCACAAAGGGTTAAAACGTTAAAACCTTACGCTACACAGTCTTATATACATTAATGTACTTATTTACAACGTTATCTTTACAAAACAGCCTCAAAACTTACCATCCGCCAAATCGTGGAGGTCGGTTTCCGCGAAACCACGGCGGACGTCCTCGGAAGTTGCCATCAGGTCGAAACCTCGGACCGACCATGGGGGGTTGTCTCGGCCTCGGACTCTGGTTATTCTGCCATTGAGGAAACCTCGGCCTCGGATTGTTGAACCTCGGAGGGAACGGTCCTCGGGGGGCATTCGGCTCTTGCAGTGTCGGTATCTGCTGCACCAAGCTTGGCGGCACAGGCGGAGGCAGAGGTGGTGGCGTCAATTTCTTAGTTTCGTTGATCTCTGTAAAGATTTCGTCCACATCCGGAAGCGGAGGGGGTTCAGGTAACTTTGGCGGCGGAGTCAACGTGACACTCAACAGTTTCTTTTTCGGCTCTTCCCTCTCCTTCAGCGGAGAGTCGACCAGGGGTTTGACACTCGGAGCCAAAGAGAAGGAGACACTCGTTTGCGTCTGGGTCTTTGACTCAGTGTCCATTTCCTCATCAGAACTCATCTCCATGTCCACACTTTCCACGTTCACATCTTGAGTACCTCGTTTGGGAGCCAGTGCCATTTTTCTGAAGCATAAATCATTATTTACTAATTGTTTGCAACAATAAAAATATAAGTGTTTGAGGGAATTGTTTCCGCCAATGAATTGCTACAGAATTTGTATAGTTCAAAAGTAAATAACATATTGTGCAAAGCCAAAAAAATGTTTTAAAATATTTAACAGGTTGTTAAGAGTTGCTTGCTATGGTTTTGTTGAAATGAAATACAATATAAATATTTAACTTTTTTAACTCAGGGCCGGGTTCAAAATGTCAACTATCGGGTCTCAAGAGAAAATAAGAATGCTTTTGAAAGTATTGATTTGTAATTAAAAATAGAAGTTGTTAAACTACATCAGTTTATAAAATGGTATACATTAAATCCTGCAATTGCTGTGAAATTGTGAAGATCTCCTAGGTTAAGGCAAAACTATGAGCGTCTGCGTTCACAGCAAAATCGTGATAATATTGAGAATAAAATCTTGTCTTGAATTACTGATGATTAGTATAAGCTAGGGACGAAAATTGAACCGTTCACACCGCTAAATTAGATGGCTCACTCGAGCTTAGACTGAAAATTATTTATAGCCAAAACCGATGTGTTTGGCCAACTGTTGTACCGGCCTGATTCAACAATCTCAAGGACTGCTAATTTGCTATGAAAAATTACACATTATTAAATGATGTGTATATATTTTAATCCAAGTACTGTAATTACTTACCTGTGAGGTCAAAAATAAAAATGTATACGAATTGTGAACTTACCTGCCGTGTTAAAAAAGACAATTTTTTACTAACTGAATGAATCTGCTTATATTGAGATTTTTAGTTCACAACAAAACTGTAGCTATTTAAAAAAATACATTTAATGGGAATATTGTTATTTTGAATACCTACAAAAATATCATTTAAATTTTGTTATTAACTTACCATTAATATTTTCTGCCTAGAATAAATCTATGAATAGCCTAGTCAGTAATAATTTTGGAAACAAAATCATTTATTTTCCTTACTTGAAAAATAACTTCAACTTATTTTGTTTACTTGAACCATAGATATGAGCCAAATATGTTATTTTAATGAGTCTGTTTTTTTACAGCAATACAGTAGAGTCCCGCAAACTCGGCACTCGATAACCCGGCAGTCTGGATAACTCGGCCATCACCTGGCCTAGAAAATCAGTGATTTTTTTGAGTCCGAGTTAAACATGGACTCAAGCCAAATCATTCGCAGCTTGTACCAAGGATTTGTTGTACTATATCTGATGACTTAATATTAACTTGTAATATAAATATAAATAAAAGAGGCAGTTTATAAGCTTAAAAATTGTATTGTTCTTATTTTTAACCCTAGTTCCCGATGACCCGGAATTTCACAAACTTGGCACCCTTCCAGTCCACATTACGCTGAGTTTGCGGGACTCTACTGTTTTAGATATTCTTTCTTGCTATTTTTTACTTATTCACAAATGGAATTTTAAATAATTTATTCTATGGCAGCAACAGATACAAGCATTAGCTTTTAATATTTCTAGATGAAATATTTGTTAATTCAGGGTGTCCGGCATTACAACAAAATACAATTCAAAGACAATTACGGGTTTCCCAGGCTCAAAATTAAAAATGTCCAGAACAAAACTTGACGCTAAAATACGCAAAAGTCACGTGTTTATTTACACCTGCAGGTATATTAAAAACCCTTTGGCAAATTCCATGACAATTTCTTCCGATCGCAGCAGCATCGGTGCTCTTAATTTTCGACCAAGGCAAAAGTTGTATTGTTTTCTCACGATCGCGGCAACATTCGTGATGATTTCCAGCAATCACGGCAAAATCTGTGATAATTTCTTGCAATAATGGCAACACACGTTGACGTTATAATGTCTTTCAATTGCGGCAACCTCCGTTTATCTTCCTGGTTATCATGTCAACACCTTTGATTATTTCTGACAATCACGGCAAGAGCTGTGCTGTGATTTATATGGCTATAGTAATTTTTAAGGGTTGTCTATATAAATGGGTTATCAGCAGTGCCAGATTTACCACTTGACGAATAGGCTACAGCGTTTTGTACAAAACCATTTTTAGAACAAAAATGTAATCATTTGTTGCGATCCAGGTGACGATGATGATGTAATATTGATAGCGGGAGAATTTCACAATTCCAAAGTTCCAATCCTATAGGACGAGGGATACTCAAGTTAATTAGGCCTAGTGCTGAAAATATCCTGAATCTGACAATGATTTTCAGTAAAATAAATTCTTCATTATTAAAATAAACTTGCCAAAGCAGAACTGGATAGCACAGAAGATAATGAAAAATATAGTAAAATAGTAAAAAATTAGATTTTAACATTTACCTCTTTCAAAGTAGGCCTAGGCGTTTAATAAACACAAAATGAGCTCACATAACTTTATAGTTTAAAAGACATCATCATCATGGATTAAAAAATAAACAACAAATTATACAAATAAATATACCAACAATAAGAAACTAAATTAATCATTTTACTTTTATTAATTGAAATAAACAAACTAAATATGTATCAGCATTAAAGTTATATGGAGCAAATAGTAGAGTACAGAAAACATTTGGGGAAAATAGGTGGTGATTAGCTGGAGTAATCATCAATTCATTGAGAATTGATTACGTATACGTAATATACGCACTCACTTGAATACATATTTTAAAATGAATATGAATGCAAGGTGCAAGTAAAATGGAGTGAGACGATCATTGTACCTTTGTTACGGTCTAAAATCAGCTGTTCTATTAGTCAGGACTATTAAAAGCCGTTAAAAACCGATAAAGGGTTTAGTAACGAACCATCAAAAATTACTAACTTTTCTCAAAATCGAACCGATTATGAATAGTGACAGTGGCATCAAAAAAATTCTGATTTATTGTCATTGGGAAAGTAAAAGCAACGCTAAACTTTTCTGACCTTACGCTCAGTTCAACCTTCTAGGATAGGTTCGGCTAAAAAACTGAGCCATTTGCACAACTCTAGTAATAAGCAATAAAGCGAGTCCAGGTACTAACTAGTGTCTCCAAGTGAGCTAATAACCCAACCACAACCTTTAACTATTGATGGAACTAGACATTCCATCCCTATGTTCAAGTTAATAAAAATGGACAAGACTGAATTGAGCAACAAAACTGATGTAAATTACTGATTTCCGTCATACATGCAAACTTTCTAACCAAGTCAACGGATAGTACTTATTGTTAGTTAAAGTGTCTTTTATGTGACGTCAACTATCTAAGTAACAAAAATAATGTAGAAAATAGAGTTTTAGACACTGGCTCATTCAACTAAAAATTTGTGACAGCTGGGCCAGATGAATTGTCTACTTCAATATCCAGTCAATGCTACAACTATTCACCTGTAGTCGGTGTCCTGGTTGTTGGCCCAGGGGTTCTCGTCCCGAGGTGATGACGTCAAACTGATGAGGTTGCGGTGGTCAATGTCGCCTTGTACCCGAACAGACCTCATATCAGTATCCGTGTCACCAAGTGTCAATGAATCTGGTTCTTCAAACTCAGCTGGCCCTCCAAACCTGTGGGACAATTTAGAGACGAATTTTAGAGCCAGGAAACATAGAAACTTCATTTGAATTAGAATATTAACATGTACAATTTTTTAGGGGAGTTGACTAGCATACTTTTCATAAGGTAAGATTTTAAGAGCAGAAAAACGCTTGTTCATAATCGGAAAATGTTATTTATAGATCTTTAGATATTTTTTATACTTTTTCTGGTGTTAAATAATCCACAACATTGAACAAATAGAAAGAAGAGAAAAAAACTTAAATTTGTCACATCTAACTACACCGGGACAAAAGTATAAATCAAGAAAAATAGTACGTACAGTAGTCAAAAATCTAATTGAAAATGGTCACACACAGCACATAAAAATGGACAACGATATGATAAAAACATGCCTCAAAGGAAGAAAAAATGTCTGCAAGGGATGAATGAAATATCAACTCCATCATAAGATACAAAAACATCAAACAACTTGAAAGAGATCAGCAATATCGTGAATATCACACATCAACATTGTCACTCGTAATCGCGGAAACATGGCCATTGCCACTTTTTATTGTGTGAAATAGTTGAAACAAATTCCATCCCTAGAAGTTCAGATTCTCAATCCTAGTTCAAAATTCAAGAATATTTCCCCCCCAAAATTCCATTACTACACAATTAATTTTTATACCTATAGATTTAATCTATGTGTAGAAAAAAAACTATACATGTTAGGAAGTTTAGGTTAGGTAAGGTAGTTGGGTAAATGAAGATATTACGGTCACTTTAAAAAAGGAGGAATTTAATTTCTATTTGAAACACTATAGTAAAGACACTTAGAGTAGAAAACGTCTATTTTACCTAAAATTAAAGCATCAAATAAATCTAATGACTATCAACACAAGACACGCACCCAGATTTCTCGTAGAGAGGAGGCGAAGCAGGAGTGTCAGGCCAGTTATCACCTTGTCCCCACGTGGGAAACTTGGGAGGTAGAAGAGGTGGCTCAGCCAGGGTGGTGGGGGGCAGTGGTGGCGGGGGTAATGTGATGGGGGGAACTGTTGGAATCTCCAAATCCCCCCGGGGAGCAGGAGGGGGCTGCATACTGATAGCCTTCAGTATCTCACTCAGATCTGGCTGTTTAGTTCTGTTTATCACTTCTATTGGTTTCCCGCCCTGCACAACAAACATACAATGAAATAATGTAGAGCAAATAAATTCAATAAATATGTCTTTGTTGTTACATAAACGTTGAGAAAAAGTAACCTAGGCGAAGGACCTAGATTTTCAGGGCTTTTATGAGGATTTATTTGTTTGCAACTGTCACTGCTTTAGTTTATAGTTTAAAAAAATTAACCACTTTCAAGCAGCATAATAAATGCGTCTGATGGGAAAAATAAAAACGTTTTTATTCATTGTACTTTTATGCACAGTATATTTTTCATTAGGGTATATTTCTATATTTACTTTTTTGGTTTGGAAACCTTAAAACAAATATTACAACAGAAAATTCAGTCAAACAGCACTATCACTATCATCCCTTACAAACAATATTAGAAAATAAAACCAAGGGTCCATGAATCTTTGTTTGGGTCAAACACTTTCAAAATAGAATATACCGTAGGTAATTGTTGTTGTATTAACAAATTTTTCTCTATGTGTAACAGACACCCCTCACTGTTTTTAAATATGTGCGTTAAGAATAAAGTTATTTTAACTGATTGATTGATTGCTTCATCATTGTGGTTAGTGTCTAGGACTTCACCAAAAGAAGGATGAGTCGGTCCCCACCGTATCCACAATTTAAACCACTTTCTATTTAAAGTGTTTAATGTTCTCAACTCAGTAAACAAAACCACTAATATTGAAAAAAGTCTAAGCCTACCTCTTGATTAGAATCAGAGAAGTAGTGGGAAGTATTGTCATCAAGTCCTTCGAGTGGTGGCGAAGCGGGTGTATCGTCACAACTCTCGGAAAAAAGCCCTTTCTGTAACCAACAACACAGAGCATTAGTGTCAAATAAAATAATTGTGAATCTCAGGTTCTTTATAACATTTTAATATTGAATCTCAAATCAACATGTTTACTTTCTAAATATTTTACTGATCTCAATTTTGTCTTTGTGAAAAAGTTATTTTCTTGAGGGAGAGTATAGGTTGAAGTCCTGAGAATTGCAAACAAAAACTCAACTTCAGGAGACAAAATTTTTCCCCAATGTGATTGGTCTTTTAGGTATCAAAATCATAACAATTCCGTGGTACCTAACCTATCATCAGGGTTACGAGAAATAAGCCACCAACTGGATACTGGATACTACACAATAGTTATTTGTTCACTCAGAGGGGTTGATACATCTATTAGAGGTTGAAATGAGGAACAACAGATGATCTCTCATATAGCTGTCATTTAGGTTTTAGACTATGAATCAATAGTGAATAGAAAACTAACTAGTGAAAGGAGAATTTTTTATAAACATATAGCCACAAAAAACTGGAACACATATCAATCTATATTTTTTATTCAATTGTTATCTAGGTACTGTAACTGTATGTAGGTAGTTACTAGATAGTTGACCATTGACTTCCAATAATGCAAGTAGGCTACTCATCCTATTGTAAAAACTTAATCCTGCTTTCATTGTTTCAAGTTGGTATAGCATTTGCAGAGTGCTAATGTTGACTTAAATGTTTTCTTTCATATCAGGGTGGACTTTAGATGATGTGCTTTCTCATTTATCTTTGTAGGTCAATGTATTGTTTAGTTAGTTATCTCTGGTAGGATAAGTTAAATAAAAAGAAATGGAAAGTAAACGAAACTCCCTCCACACAACCTTAATGGAACATGAGAATTGTCGGCTGTCAGCCTGATCCATAAGAATTATTAAGCTATGAGAGAATATGTTAAATAAGTGGTAAAACCTACCTGGAAATCAAACGGTAAATTCAGATTTCCCATAAAGCTGCTGAAGCCACTACCAGAGCCCATTTGTGCCGGGGCAGAAGAATCTTCATTGAGTGAATTCTCCGACTGTAAGAAACTATCCAACCCGTTCACATTGGTGGGTGGACAATCTTCCCCCAGTAAAGGTGGAACGGTTAGGTTGTTGGATGAGTAGAAAGGTCTATAATCCTCGGTGGGAGGGGGAACGGAATAATCAGGCGGAGGAGGAACCACAGGTGGTTCGTCATATCCTGAGTATTTCCTCGAAGATTTCCCCGTATCGTAGGTGGAAGTGTTTGTCGTCGGTATATAGTCTGGTGGTGGATTGTTGTAAGGAGGGTTGGATCCATTTCTCGAGTCGGAGAAGGTGGGGGAAGGGTTTCTTGGATTCGGGTACACCTCGGGTGGAGGCGGGTTGGCTCCAGGAATGTGATAAGAGTCTTGGGAATTACTATCGTACGAATTCATCTGATCGTTTTCTTCCGGGTTGTAATAGTTCGTAGCATAACTCGCCTTGTAAGGCGCAGAATACGTCGTAGGTTTGTATGTGGGTTTCGCTACAGGCTGGTAGGGGGAGTTTGACGAGTAATTGGATGCAGAACTAGAAGAGAGCGTTGGAGTAGAGATATGCGTAGCAGGCGGAGGTGAGTTGTAAGACTTCGGAGACGATTTCCGTTTGAAACTTCTCGGAGGAGTTGGTGGTTTGTAGTTCAGCTTAGCTGGACTTCTCGATCGACTCGGACTGTCGATGAGGGAGTATATAGCTTCTGTCGGGTTAGACAACTTTACGTTTTCTGGAACTACCAACTTCCCCATGAACGAAGTCGCCACCGAGTAATTACCTGTAAAAAGAAACTGAATTGTATACAACAGGCAAAACTGTATTTGACAGTTATAGTAGTAGTATTTTTGCAAAAGTGTAGTGTTGCCTTTAGTAAAACCTCAAAATTCAGATAAAGAATTATATATAAGGATATGGTGAAATTGCAAAAAAAAATTATATGATAGTTTGTGTTGATTCAGATTATGGTAAAAGTAATGATAAAGAAAAATGGCCAAATGGAAATTTTAGGATCGGTTTTTAACTTTTAATTGATGCTCATTGAACCCGACAACAATCAATCAAATGAATATTAAACAGTTCTCATGCAAATTAATGTACAATAGTAAGGGCTCAAGAAATCACTACTGTTAAGCGATGTTTATAATGTTGACATACTAGCATTTGTGATTGATTATTAATGAGGATATAGTTGCATTTGTGATTAATTATTAATGAGTAGAAACTTTCATAGGCGTCAATATTAAAAATAAACATAAAAATCACTCACTTACGAACTATTACATGCAAAAAATGTGTTTAGGCTCATATTTCACTTTTCAATATGTTATTGTTTTATAGATTAAAAGCTGGAAACATTAACAAAACTTCTAAGGTTTAAAAAATGTTAATCACTAATTTCAACATTGGTACAACTTTTAAGTAACCAGCAAAATACATTAGGAGAAAAATATACAACATGTGCTTCATGCAAAAATATTGGTGATGTGTTATTTTTTTTTTTTCATAGCTATTGCTTAATTCTGAGCACAAAATATATACTGAGCCAAATGTATTTAAAATTACAACCTTTAAGGTCGATTCACACACATCAGTTACGTCACGTCACAGTTAACAAAAATATTCTTTAATGGATTTTCTATAGCGCTATCTACACCCACCGTTGCAGTTCCGTCAGTAGCTTTGCAGGCGTCAATTTCAGATTTCTTTTTACTGATATTTTTGGATTGTTCGAACGTCTGACGGACGTGTTTGAGGTTATAAAATAATACTTTTTTTTATTTAAATGATCGATTTTATATTTTAAGTAATTGTTTTTAACAATCAACAAGACGAACGATGAAAATTTTATGGAATATTGTGTTTTAATTAAACATTTTTGACTTTAACAACACAGCAAATAAAGTGACAGAAGAGTGACTGCAACAAAAATAACTGACAGTTTGATTGAGGAATTGTGGATGCAACTTTGACTGGACCGTAACTGTACTGTAACAGAACTGTGACTGGACTGATACGTGTGAATCGACCTTTATAGGTTTCACAGTATGTTATAAATGATTTAAAGATACTGAAGTAGACGACCTACCTTATGGGCTAGATGTGGCAAATTTTCGTTAAAAAATAACATACTCGAATGACACAAAAAAAAATTGAACTAATGTAAAAAATTGGTTATCTCTCTTATTGATATTTTGATGGATTAAACACAAGGTGTAGTTTAGTTTGACTTGGTTGAATACTTGGTCCTATTTCATTCAGTCATTTATGCCAGCCCACACTGATGATGGCCCAGTTCATAGTCAAAGATAATATCAAAGATTGGCCTTTGCATAAAACTTACCCGAGTTAACAAGATTTTAATAAACTTTTCGCTAAGTAACTGGTCAGGTTAGCTCACCGTTTTTCTTTGGTAGTCAAGAATTCCTATACAGCCAATATCTTCTTCCCTCAGCTGATGCTCCTTAGCAAAACAATAAAACTAATTTGGAGCATGTTAATCAAACTTAGGTGTCAAGTCAATAAGAAAGTTGGTTAGTTAGAAGGACAGAAAATAAAGTGGGAATAGAATTTTCGGGCTGGGCCAGGCCAACAATTGTAATTAATTGAGGAATTAAAATAACTTTTTAGGTAAGTTTTTATTATTGTGATCGCAAAAAACTTCTTCACAGATTGCACGATCAGAAATTCACAATTCTGCCACGACTACGAAAGATGTTCACGAATTTACTGATCGCAGGCTAATGAAAAGCATTTTACAAACGGATAAGTAAAATCAATATTTTCAAAGCGAATAGCTGTTGGCCCAATGGGAATGTCAAAATTTTTACCCAACCCGAAGTAATAAAGTCTGGTCCGCAGACCTAATAAGATAAAGAGAAATTTACACAATAATTAACATGCACATTTGAACTTAAGGGCAGAGAATGTACTTAAGAAGCAGTTGAGTCCTTTTTACGCTGAAAACAATCTCCGTTTCCATCAAATGCTAAAGATTAAGATAAAGTAGTGTTAATGGTTAATTTTTTTGTCAACTACTTTAATGCAGTTCTTGTTTGAAGTCTAAATAGAAAAACATAAGATGGACATATTCTAATAAGGAGCATCACAGACTTTGAGGGTTGTAGTAAGAATTTGATTAAATGCTGATTAATTTTACTGCGCAGTTTGTTCATGAATTTATTTCTTTCAAATGAATTAAATCATCTTTTTTAGGAACAACAGATGTAACAAAGAGCAAGAGCCTAGAGTTTTAGGATTTTTGTATGAGGATAGCAGGATTTTACAAGAATAGGTAAGCCTGATATCATCACAACATATTTTTGTAACTATAGGTCGGCCGCTTAGAAAGCGACCTCTTCGTAGCATTGGTGCGAGAGAGAAATACCGAGCTGTGGTGGCAGTGAGACAGACTATGACTCCACCCTCACTCGGCTGCTTTCACACTGCACGACATGACAATGGCACGTCATTGACACGGCACCGCCCCGGTGTCATGGGAGTTGGAATCCTGCATTACGAAATGGAACTGCTTACACACACACCGGCGTGTCGTGTCGTGCAGTGTGAAAACGGCCGGCGGAGAGGGGGAACATACCCTCCCTCGCTGTTACCTCCCCTACATGCGCTAAAAATAATCGCGCAGGTCGCTATCTATCCGGCCGATATCTTATGTTTCTTTGGTAGGGTCTAAGCTTCCAAACGGGTTCCACCTGGAGGGGCTGTATATAATAAACAGAGATATTTACAACTTCTTTAATTAAGTTTCAGAGATTTATTTGATCCAAACCAAGTCAAACACTTTCTTTTACAACAGTTTTAGTAGGTACTCAAATTCAAAACTACCATTTTAATGCAGGATTTTTACCAATTTAACAAAGCATACGTCAGCCAATAAAATAAAAACACAAATTATAAAATCAAACACAATTAAGATTGATAAGCACACATGTTAGCAGTGTTGGCAGTGATATCGGTTTACTTAGGTTCAGATTTGACATAAAATGAAAAATGTCAATTTTATTGGGTTTTGAAATGTATTTATCCGATGAACTACCCAGAACTACTTTCTTAAGTTAGTTAATTTGAATTGCAGAATAAAAGGTGGTTAGCTGGGATTAAATGTTACGTGTTTTATGTGTCTTCTGTACGTTTTCTATGACCTCCTGGTACTTATAAGGTAAGCTAACTGCTATCCTCTTTTTTCGATTCAAAATCCTAGCCTAGAGCCTTTCCTTGAAAAAAAATGCGTACCTAGGTTAGTTTTCTGTGAAAATGCCAAATTGGTACCTATCTTTTTCCTCAATTTATGTTATTTTTCTTCTTTATTTAGCATAGTGGGCTTATATTAATGGTAAAGAATGCATTCTGGAATAAAAACCACAAACTGTGCACACTTTTTACCATTACAAATTAAGATGAGGGTGAAAGTATTACCCAAATAGGTGAAGGATGAGTGTAGAATAAGGAAGATTATCTATGGAGCTTTGTTACCTACTGAATAAGATCCACTATTTCTTTAGCCATTTTAATTTATTCAAAGATCAAGAACAGCTGGGTCCAGTTTCAAACCATGAAAAAGCTTCTGATTTTTTCTCAGGATTGAACTGGGGGTTTAGATGACTAGTCGAGCACTATTATCACTAAAAACTATTTTACTGAAATGTTGTTTCAAGTTTCTTGTGTCATTGTAGACTTTTTCCATTCAGATTTAAGCCTGTTATCCCAACATTAAAAAAAAAGAACACAGTTAAATGAGCTACATGCAGAATGTGATACGATCCAAATTCTCTGTTTTCTTAAGTTTAATTACAGTGCAAACTTACATTTTTTTAAATGAAACTTTTTGAACTCAACTGCGGGCTAAATGATTTGATTTTGTGTTTCTTCACTTTGAAGATGTGCTCATTGTAGCACGAAACAGCTGTCGTGTTTGACGACTACACAGGATCATTTTAGGCAAGGTAAAAACCATATTCTGCTAATTTTAATGATCCAGAGGCTATCCATCATGAAAATGTATAGAAAATTCCAATTTCGCATCGATGGTTACCCCCAAGAATTTATAAGCAAAGTTTTTGGTTTCAATTGAATTTTACAAATAACAATGGAGTACAATAGGTACAACAATGAACTAATACAAATTCAAAACTCATAAACTAATACAACTGTAATCAATTGAATTGTCAAACATTTGTGATAAATCCTGAAAAATGCTACAATAGTCGGGGTACGGCCGACTGGAGCATTGAATGTTCCCCTCAAATCCATCCGTCATTGGGGATTTCCATGACCTTTTGTCTATTTCCATGACTTTCAATCACCAGAATCTTTTCCATGACTATCCCTGACTTTCCAGAATGTGGACACCCTGTTTTGTTAGGTGACAACGATGTTGCTATAATTTGAAATAAGTTTTTCTTTCCGTTTTACTTGGTACATCAACTCACCCTATCAGTGGCTATACTCAACTAAGTTCATTCTTATTGCAATACTGACTACAATGGAATGTCTCAATCCATAGTCAAGGGTTCTACTTACTAAGTACTGTGCAAACAAATCCAAAACTATATCATTCTAACTTTGACAACTCTTTTACACAAAATGTTACTTAACACTTTGAGACCACAGGCCTACTTACCGGGTGGCTCGTTATCATCAGGCAGTTCAATGTCAGACTCCGGCGAGGGAGACGGAGCGTTCACGTCAGGCGATGGTATTGGACTCGGTAGCGTTGGTGTCACATCAAGCAATTTTTTCCTCAAGCCCTCCACCCGCTTAAGGAAGTTTCTGTATGCCTATAGTGGAAAGATTTGTTAAAATTTAGTTCAAAGGTTGTGAAGGAATACTCATATAAACATGTTAAGTATATGCAATGTATAATTCTTTACATAGCATATTTATTGAGATGGGGACGCCATATAGGAGTACATTTTAACCCAAATATGAGTGAAGCATGAGTGTAGAATGAAGTGAGGACCCTTGAGTAACTTTCTTACTGACTAAGACCAGCTGTTTCATTAGCCAGGATCATTTATTATGCCCAATGACATTTCCCAATCCATTCAGTTTCCCAATTCCCAATCCAGTTTCAAACCATCAAAAAGCTACTAACTTTTCTCAGGATCGAACCGCAGACCTTCTGTTTTATAGATGAACGCCATAACTCAACACTACTCAGCAATCCAGCTATATGCCTACTAATCCTCAATCCTTACTCAATCCCTACTTAATCCTCAACTGTATACATTTGATTGAAATATCAATAGCTTTTTGATGGTTCAAGACTGGCCCATGAAATTTAGGGAAGAAGGAATTATGTTATATAACTAACATACCTAAGAAAGAATTCAACTTAATTCTTCTAAAAAAGTCTCTTGTACGGTTGAAATATCAAGTTCATTGACCTACAAACTTTTTTTGCATTCAACTATCTTGGACTCTTTTATCAGGCAAGTTAAGTGTACCCATTCCTTCTTCCTTCTGTATAATTTATAAAAGAATACTCTTTAACTGTATGTTTTAACAATCGAGATTTTCAGAAGTTGCAAAACGTACTCACATTGCACACAATTCTAGCTTCCCCTCGTTGAGTATTGTAGAATGATTCGCCTTGCTCCAAGGTTTCAATGAGAGATTTTCTTTCCTTTATTTCTGTTTTCAACGCAGAAATGAATGCAACCATTTTGTCAACCCCTTCTTCGAGCTCCTGTTCCAAATCAGCTCCATGTCTCCTATCTAAACAAAATGTTTAAGTTTTTTTTTTACAGATAACAGTTAAATTAAATAATTTAAATGTACGAGACATGGGGGACCTACACGAATGGCCCATTTTGATATGATTCACAACTCGTCTCCAAAGCATAACAAACATAGAAATTGATACCTTTCAAAGATTACTTCCTAGTAATTTTTTTTTTTAAGAAAAACATAATATGACAATAATACCCTCACTACAGCAAATCTGCGGACTAAGTGAATTCCCATTTCCCTTATTGGATTTTTACTCAAATATTTCCTGTAAATGATAATGATAATGATAATGATAATGATAATGATAATTTATTTGCACATAACATACAAATTTGTGAAAATCACATGTACAGGTGCTTCGTCTTGATCTCTTAAAAATTGATTCTCAGTCCTTAATTATTCTAAAACATAAATTGGTTCCTAAGATGTTGATCACAGTCTTAAATTTAGTGCTACAATACAACATGAACATATTCAAACATAACAAGGTATAAAATTTGTAAATCTACGGGTAACAAAATGGCAACAAGAAAATTAATAGAGAATAAATATATGAACAATAATATACGATTTTGAGACAAACAAATAATTCCCGTAAGTGTTTGGATATATTATTATTATTATATTACCATTATTAGATAGATTATTATTAGATATAACCATATTATTATTATTATTATTATTGGACCCGTAAAATATTAGATGTATTCCCTGTTTCGATCGCATTAGGTTAAATAAATACTTTGGTTTGCTGCTATCACGAAGACTAGAAAAATACCGGTATGGATCATGAACAAATGACGTTTTTGGTCCGCAAGTAAACAAAACCCCTATTCAAATAGCATTAATCTAATTTTGTTTACTTTCAGGACAAAATCGTTATTTGTTTATGTTTATGATCCATACCGGGTCTTTTCTTTCTAGTATTTTTGGCTGCTACAAAGAAAGTAATAGTGTATTATTTGGGGAAATTTTAATAGCTCAGAGTTAAATACTGTAGGTAAACTTGTCAAATTTGATGAGGATATTTTACATCATATTTCCATGAGAAGATATTTAAAACGCAAACTACATCAGTTTACTTATTCTTCTTAACAAAAACATGGAAATTTTAAACTTAGACAGTTTTTTATTAATATCCCTAAAACCATTAGGCTTAAGCGTAACACGCTTAAATTTAGTAAATTATTTGCATCCCTATTTTATACCACCAATTTTAGGTTAAAATACACCTCAATCGTATAACGGGTCCTTAAGTAGGACAAGAAAAAGGGATGTTTAAGAGAAAACCATATTCAAACTGTTAATAATTTTGAAACGATATAAGCGTACAATTCAATCTTTGTTTTTAAGTGCTAACTTGTAAGTATATAGATTGAATGAGGAATTTGCAGAAACCTAAATTTAGAGTGTTCCCCCGGACAAAGAACCATGACATGGATCATATTGTCGTATGAACTAGCAGTTTGGGGCCTGTACTTTACACGTTTTACACATCTGACTCTCCCAGCTGTGTAAATAATTGTACTGCACACTTGTATGCGGATGATCCCCAGTGGCACTTGTCTTATGAGCCTGGTTACATGAGTGAGGCCATCGACAAGATCATCACTGATCTGGAGAACATCTCCAAATGGTCTTACATTAATGGGGTTAGGCTAAACCCAGACAAGTGCACTGTACTTCATACTGCCCGTGTGAACCTAGTACAGACACCAAGAGATAATGGCTTGAGCATCAATCTTGATGGCAGGAGTCTGGCGGTCTGTGACAAAGCCAAAACTCTTGGCGTCATTATTGACAGAAATTTGAATTTTAAAGACCACATTAAACATGTCTCCCAACAAGCAATAGGAAGACTGAGAGGTCTGTACAGGTTCAGAGGTATGCTGCCTGAGGCTGCAACGCTTCAACTCATGCAGTCACTGATATTGTCAGTAGTCTACTACTGCTTCCCTGCATATGGCATATCACTAAGGAAGACATGTGCAGAATACAGTGAATTCAAAGCTCAGCAATCCAATTTGTATTCTGCCTCAAAAAATTTGATCGTTTCCCTTTTCCGTGAAGCAGTTGGGCTGTTGCCCATAGAAGCCATGTGCAGGTTTTTGAAGTGCTGCATGACTCACAGGGTTCTGACTCTCCGTGAGCCCGACTATCTTTGCAAGAGGCTTTCTGTCCGGGATGAGATCATACAACGTAGGACATGTCATGATGAAAGGCTTCACTTTCCAACTCACCTTGGAATTGGGAAAAAGAAGTTTCTCATATTTTGGAGCCACATTGTACAACGGACCACCCAAGAGCCTAAAAACCGTTGCATCCAACAATACCTTTAAGATTAAGTTTAAAACGTTTTTAAAAGATAAAAATGTTTAGTTGTAAGTACAGTAGTTTAATGAAAAAAGTTGTTGTACAAAACTGATATGTATCTGAGAAACGCTTACTAATAAAGACATTTTATTTATTTATTTCTTTAACTAGGAAATCAACAAGCTATTTAATTTAAAAGAAAAAAAGAAAGAAAGCTATCAGAATTGTTGTGATAAAAATTGTGTATCTGCAGAAAAGAGTGTATTCACACTCAAATATCTGGAGTCTCTTTAACAAAAACAGCTTAGCTTTTAGAAAAGCTTTTGCTATTCCCCTTTATCATCTTTTAATTAAGCTTACCTTTCAAGAAAGATCGAAGTGAGTCTGCATCGTTCAGTGATAAATGGCTGTCATTTACGATTTTCCGCTTCGCATCAGTATCTTCTTCCAAGGTTTTACAGGATTTAATTTTTCCAATTAAATGACTTGGCTGCAAACGTAAAATTTTCACATAATTATAGATAAAAGTCTGCAATAATTCATCCTAACAAATTTGATTTGGCTAACAAATTTGAATAGTTCTGATTTATAATGAATACGTATGCTTTGAAACTTTGATGGATCATGCTATTTGATTAAAATTTACTTGATTTTGAGATGAATAAATATATAGTAATGAACATATTTTGATTTGAAACCAACCTTTTCTAAAGGGTGTTTGTCTTTACAAAGATGTTTCTACAACTTTCCATCACAGTAGGTCTATGGTTTTGTATACTTACAACTAAATCAATGAGCAATCTCATGACACACAGAAATACAAATCATAGAAAACCTGTCACAAATTTAAAACTTGGGGGCGTGTTGCTAGCCAAGTGGATACTGTCTCAGACCTCGGTGCAAAAGACGGGGTATGATAACGACTTAACCAGTAACTGTCACCATTTAAAATAATTCCACAAGTTTGGACCGCTTTCCCTTAAAACCGTTTGGAATTTCACCATACAATGTCCATGTAATAGGCCTACTAGAGTTAGTAAAACTAAAAAGTAACTGTTAATAATTACCTGAAAGTCTACAGCATCGTCTTTTCCTTGAGCGGGTTGGCGACTACTGAGTAGCCCGGAAAGATCTGCCAGAAAGGCTTCATCGTAAATTGATCTTTCATCCCAAATCTTAAACAACCTTAAGATTTTGTTTTTGACTTTGTCATCTCTGAAAAATCATACATCAACTTAAAGACAAATGTTTTAAAATGATTTTCCACTTCTGTAAAGTAGGTTGTTATGTAGGCCAATTATATGCTTGATAAAACTGTGTGTTTTATCAGTGTTTTTATCCAGAAGGAAGGGTATGTTATTAAATTTCGATATAAGCATAGTATAGGCTGAACTACTAAGCGTCTAGATGGATCGGGGATTTAAAATATTGAAAAAGGCTTTAACACGTTTAGTACTGTTGCACGATGGCCGGCCGCAGCTGGTGGCTAATGTGTTGCGTGGTTGAGAGAGTGAAAACGTTTAAATTTAAAGTACCTGGGGACCGAGCTTTGCTCGGAGAAAATCATTAGTTCACTCTGAAAGCAGTCTTAGTATCGGAGATACATATAATCTTCTATGTCTATTCTTCAAATTAATAAGGGACAGGATGTATCGAGGAATCGAGGAAAACGATTTGTTGGGTTTAAACTGACGAACCGTTGCTTGTTCTACTGAGAGACGAATGGAAGTGACAAACAAATCGATAGCCTCATCTATTTGGGTTTTATCTTTTAGTTGGCGAGGAAGGAGAAAATTTTCATGAAAGTATTCTTTAAACTTTTCCCAGTCGATTACTCCTTTAATAAGTTTTTCGTTTGGAAGTTCTATTTCAGGTGGTTCGTCAAATGAAAGAATGACTGGTAGATGATCGGAATCAAGGTCAATTAGTGGTGTCATGTGTGTTGGGTGAGGCATATTTCTAAACAATCCAATGTCTAAAATGTCTGGCCTGACATTGTGGTTAAATGAGTAATGAGTAGGCTCATTTGGGGCAACAATTGATACTCCGTAGGCAGTAGCAGCGGCTAAGAGGAGTCTTCCATTTGGATTTGTCTTCAGGCATCCCCAAGCTTCATGCTTACAGTTTAGATCGCCTAGTAAAATAGTAGGAGTATTATCTGGAAAGAGGTTTTCAATGTACGTTTTGGAAAACTTGTACCGTGGAGCATGATAAGCAGAATATAAAATAATATCATCCTTGTTTATTCTTATTTTTATGGCTGTAATTTCTAGGTTATTCATGTGAGGTAGATACAATGAGTGATGAGAAATGTTTCTTTTAACCGCAATGGCAACTCCGCCAGACGCTCTAGGCGCATCCCTGTCTGATCTGTAAACGAGATAACCTGGAATTTTAAATTTTTCCGTTGATATCAGATGGGTTTCTGTGATACAAGCAATGTCAATTTTATTTTGAGCTAGAAAAACAATAAATGAAGAACGCTTTTCCTTTAAACCATTCGCATTCCAATTAAGTATTTTTAAGTTATTCACTGGGTGTAAATTATAATCCATTCTGGAAAATAGATGTTACTAACTGAGAGATGAACGATTTAATTTGAGGGAGGTAAGGTTTAACTAGAGATAATAGTGATTTTAAAATAGGGTGAAGAGAGTCGTGTTCTGAGTTTTCAGGTTCAGGATGGGGAGTTTGTGTTTCAGTACGTTTATGTTTCGATCCGTTTGTAACATTGGCATAAGTTTTGTGTGGGGTAGCAAAGTTTTCGATTTGAGAACTTGCTGGAGGATTGCAGTTTTTAGTTGACAAAGCAGGAAAATGAGTACTACTTGAGTTGTATTGAACTTGATTATGGCTGACTTCTGTTTGATTGGTTGTTGATTGATTTCTTTTGCTGATTGCTCGTGTCTTAAGGCTGAGGTAGTAAGGGCAACCACGATAATTAGCTGTATGCGACTCATTACAGTTAACACACTGGACTGGATCTTCTCTCTTTTTAGGACAATCTGAAAATAAATGGTTTCCTGTACATTTAACACAACGGGGATCAAGTTTGCAATAGTTTTTAGTATGTCCATAGCGTTGACAGCGAATACACTGAGGGATGGCTTTAGACTTTCGCTTTAGTTCAATCTGAATTTTTGAATGGAAAATAAATTCAAGGCCAAAAATGTCATTGCCAGAGTCGGAGTCCTCGAGCTCGATGGCACAAAGAGGTATTGGATATTTATTTTTGTTGTATAGTCTAGTAACTTTAGGAACTGGCAGATTCATTCGTTTAAGTTCTGTGTGAATTTCTTCGTCAGAAAGGGAGATTGGGACGTTCCGCATTATGACAGAGATACGTTTGTTTTCAGGAGAACAAAAAGAGTGATATTGTACTTTTAAATTGTCAAAATGTGCTGTTAGTGCACGGAAGTCATCGGATGAAGACACATTTATTTTGATGGTACTACCTTTGTTCACGGTAAAATAATTTTGCGTTAAGACTTTGTCAAGATCTGCGATCAAAGCTTGATAATTGTTCGAGTCGTGAAGAAAAATGGGTGGAATGCGAGATTTATCAGAAGAGTTAGGAGATTCGTCAGTTTCGTCATTGTCGGTAGTGGATGCTAAAGGACTAAACCTGTTTTGTATTACTGTTTTGTATCGCTTCGTAGTGTGTTGGAAGTTGGAAGATGATGATTTAGCTTTCTTATTGGATACTAGTTGAAATTCGCTTGATTCACCTTCTTGGTTGTTTTCTAGTTCCATTGTGCTAACTTCTAATTGGTGTGATGAATTTGGGAGGAAAATTTTGTTTGGTGGTGCCGATGAGTCGTCTAAAATATGATGCTTACCATTGTTGACTGTAGAGATATTTTGACTTGTTGATGCGTAGCTATGGTCTTCACGATAGGTTAGAATTGGAGGTTTCAAGACAGGGTTCGTCCCGTTCATTTAATGTGTTAACTTATATGAAATTTATTGAAAGTCCGAAAGAAACACACAAAAAGTAACTAAAAATAGAAAAGAAACACTTCAAAAGAAAATCAAAATTATTTTAAAAAGTAAAAATAGGGAGAGCAAAAAACAATAACAACCGTTATTAACCGTATCATCAGCTGGATCTCACAAAATTCGTAATCGATTTATAAATCTGTTCCCAAACTCCACGCGGCTCGCCTTTACAACGTCCTACACCATTTCCTACGTCATGGACCTGTTTCCCTCCATTCCCATAGCACTTTAAGATTGTAGATACCTTAATCTAATCGTTATTAACAGTTCCCACACTCCGGACAGCTCGCCTTGACTACTTCCTTCACCACTTCCAACGTAGCGGACCTGTTTTTCTCCCTTCCCATAGCATTTCAGAATTGCAGATACGTTAATCTAATCGTCACAAACAGTTCCCACACTCCATACTAATCGCCTTTACTACTTCCTTCACCACTTCCTACGTCGCAAACATGTTTCCCTCCCTTCCCATTGCATTTAAAGATTGCAGATACATTAATCTAATCGTCATAAACAGTTCCCACACTCCGGACAGCTCGCCTTGACTACTTCCTTCACCACATCCTACGTCGCGGACCTGTTTCCCTCCCTTCCCATTGCATTTAAAGATTGCAGATACCTTAATCTAATCGTCATAAACAGTTCCCACACTCCGGACAACTCGCCTTGACTACTTCCGTCACCACTTCCTACGTCGCGGACCTGTTTCCCTCCCTTCCCATAGCATTTTAGGATAGCCCATACCCTTATCTAATCGTCATAAACAGTTCCCACACTCCGGACAGCTCGCCTTGACTACTTCCTTCACCACTTGCTACGTCACGGACCTGTTTCCCTCCCTTCCCATAGCATTTGAGGATTGCTGATACCCTAATCTTATCGTCATAAACAGTCCCCACACTCCGGACTGCTCGCATTTACTACTTCCTTCATCACTTCCTACGTCACGGACCTGTTTCCCTCTATTCCCATAGCATTTTATGATTGCCTTTACTACTTCCTTCACTACTTCCTACGTCACGGACCTGTTTCCTTCCCTTCCCATAGCATTTTAGGATTGCAGATACCTTAATGTATTCGTCATAAACAGATCCTAGACTTCGCACTGCTACCCTTGACTACAATGTCTCGAGTAATCTTAAGTATAATCTTTGCTCAATATTAACAAGTGATGTTTTTCCTTTTGTACTGTATTTGTAATTTGCTAGTATACTGTGGGTAGTTGGTTTATTATGAACACGTGCTACAACTTCAAGTCTTTTGTTTACCTTTTCCTTGTTATTTAATTCAACCAACATGGTTACTTAGCAACCCATAAGACTAATGTTAAAAAAATGTGACTTTCAGTTTCGTTTTTCTACGTAATTAGATTTTTGTTGGCAGTTCTAACTGCATGAAACTTGTTTTTAGGCCAAAAATAAACTATTTACAAGATTTGAAGAAAATCGTCGGAGCCGTTTTCGAGATCTTTCTGCAAGCAAGCAAGCAAGCAAGCATACATACAAGCAAACATTGCTCGTATTAGAGTATAGGATTAATCCAAATGAGAAAATATTGTAGCATGTACTACATTCCAGTCGTTGTGGACGTAGTTTTATGAACCCAACAGTTAGCGCCACTACACAAAACTGCTAGTACCGGTAGGTCCTCAGTATTGCCAAATGGAGGGAAAAAGCTGGGGCGAAAAATTTGAATACGCCATCAAAAAACATTACAAAAAAGGCGTCAAGCACAATTTTGAGGTTAGGTTCCTTCTACAATGTTACACTAAAGTAATTATCGTTATTCTATTCAATTTCATTATATCCAAGACAAAACCCCACACTACACTAAATTTGGAACAGTCCCCACCACCGATGATATTGTTGGATCTGAAAACGAATCATACTGGATTGAGGTATCAAACTGTCACAACAAGCGAAACAATGTTCTCCGTGCGAGTCTGAGCTCATACTGAATCAATACTTTGGAGTTAGGAATGCTACGTAGTTTAACATAGTCCGCCGCACACAAGTCCCGCGCTATGTTTAGTATTGTAGGCCGCACTCAACGTGTTCATAGTATTCCTTTCCAATAATCCTCTAACATCGTACTTATACAAATTAAAAACTACAGAAAGTTGTGTTTTGTTGGTGCAAAGATGCAGGTTATTGCTTCTCCAAAATCTCAAATTTCTTTAACTCTACAGCAATCACTAGTGATAGCTAATTTATTCCAGAGCATCAATATTTATCATGAAGAAGAGTGATACCAAAGAGCACATACCTGACCAATGTGGTCGCTTTCTGGAGAGCAGTGCCCCAGCTTTCAACAAAGTCGTAGCCTTTCCTCTTACTGTACTGTATAACATCATTTGCCAGATGAAACAGGGTCAGGCGCTGCTCTATTTTCACTACAACAAACAAACAAAAACTGTTTAATTCAGTCCCGTGTACATTTAATTAAATTTACTTCACCTATAGGTCTATGCTTGCATAGGTGATATACTGAATAATGTTCATAATACATGATTCAATAATAAAATTCTTAAGCCCGCTACAAAATGTTACACCCTGTAATCCAGCAGTTTTACCCCCTCCCCCCATGATTTCTCTGTGATTAGGCCTACTGTATAAAGTTTTAAGCTTCAAGTTTCACAGACCCCTGATCTGGTGTTAACGTTTATTTACGACTCTGAAGGAAAAAAATTTTTTCTAAGTTACCATTGCAATTCGGATTATCCAATGTATTGGAGCTTTACTTACAGACATTAAGAGCGTAACATGTTTTTGCATACATGTGACAAACACATAAATAACGTCACCATAAATTCTTTAGAAAAAGTATGTCTTGTAAAGTAGTAACTTAAGTTACATTATTTTATTTAAAAAATTCATTTTTTTTTAAACTTATATTATTGCTATTAGGTTGTTGGGTCGGTAGCCTCACTAGGATTGTGTATAAACCTTTAAAATTATTAACCACTATCCCCCGATAATTTGGCTTTTATCAAACGTGACACACTTTCAGTTCACACTACCTCAAGTTTGTGGGACTTCCATAACGTTATTACCTAAGTTGAATTAAGTTCCAGTTAAAGTTAGCCTACCTTTCTTCAGAGTTTGTAGCCAAATCGACACAATCTTCTTATGATTTGTTGGTCGGTCGAGACACCATTGAGAGAGGGCCGATATGCTCTCATGTGTATCCTTGAGGCCAACCAGCTTCTTTTCAAAAACTTCCTCGTCAAATGAAGCCATAATCGATGGCAGGAGCAGAAACCTATCCCACACATAAACATGTAGGCCTATCATATATATTTTAGTAGGTATAGGCCTAATATGTAATATGTAACATAATTAATTAAATAAAAATAAAACTGAACTCAGCCTAGCCACTGACAATGCCACTTTACAGTGAGGGCAGAACATCTGTCAACAGTGAATTAGGCCTAGTGAAGGCACAGGGCACAGTTGACACCAAAAAACAATATTATGAACCAACTTATTAATTTATATTAGGGTCTAGGCCTAACTCCACACTGTTTTGGCACAAGTAAGTTTACCCTTAACTTATTTACTTAGCCTGCCTAACATGTTTCACCCACAATTTTAATGGGCAAATATTTAGGTACTGTACTTACACTGGGATAACTTATGATGTACCTAATTTTTATATGTCTAGTTACAGTATTTTTAACGCTGAATCCAAAAATGCAATCAGTTTTTGTCGGAGAGATTCCTAAGTGGCCGTAGTGGCTGTAAAACGAAGGTTAGGATTACAAATATAAGGATGGGATAATTGAGCGGTACTGATGTAACTTAATTAATGGTGATATATGGCGTGGTCCGGACGGGTCCATACTGAGTGAGGAGTGAGGACTGAGTGAGAAGAGCAAACAACTGTCTAATGCGGAATGATATCAAATCAATTTGTTTTGAAACCAAATAATGAGTTCTTATTTAGGCATGTGAGGAAGGTAGGTATTTTTATGCGGATTTGTGACTGTATTAAGTGTTTTGAAGTGAGGTTAGATTAGGAAGGTAGCCTACTTAAAGGCTATGTTATAATGATCCGACTCATTAATTTATGTAAAAACAGTCTGGAAGTTGCATAAATTAATGAGTCGGTTAATTTTAACCTAACCTTTAACTTAAGACCTAATCTAACCTCACTTTAAAGGACTTAATATAGTCACGAATCCGCATAAAGTCAGACCTATCTTCCTCACATGCCTTTTCTGACATAAAATGTGATTTAAACATTAATATTAAGGTTGGGTGGGTTGGGTTAGGTTAGATTAGATTATGTAACATCATTTATTAGTTGCTGATACATTAAATTATGCACTGTAGCACGTTTTCACTTTTAGACACAATGGGATTATGTACTATGAGATTATGCACTATGGCACGTTCATTAACAGACGTTGGGGCATTAACTTAGTCAATGGTTGATGATTCGAATGAGGACGATGATCATGTCGGCAGTGGCCTAGCTTCTATTGCTGATATTTTACGTGAACAAATTCTATTTTGTTTTTAAATTTAAGTTCATGTGATTAATAGGCTAGTTTATGTATTGTAGTTGATTTATTGTATTTTCTAAAAACAGTACCAAAGACCATTTTCTTTTAAAAATCTAAATAGTTATTGCATATTGTTGTTACCCTGATTTTGCTCTCATGGCGTCGTGTGTGGTTTTGTTTGTTTAGTATCAAATGTACCTACTTACAGCTGTTTCCACTACACAAACCTTCCACCCCTTTTAGTGTTAGTCGCCACTAGAACTTGGGGTCGTCCATACCACAAATATGTTACAAAATTATCAAAACTGAAGCTTAATATTAATTATTTAACCGTGCGGCCACTTAGGAATCTCTCCTACCAAAATTGATTGCATTTTTGGATTCAGCGCTAAAATTGCTGTAAGTAGGCCTAGACATATCAAAATTACATCATATCCTAGTGACCTAATTAAAATCTAAGGTAGGCTAGGCTACATTAGATAACTTATCACTTACCTAGAGTAATAGCCTATCACATAGCCTATCTTAGTGTTTTTTTAATAGACCTACTAGTAATTAATTAGGCCAATCCTCACTGATTACTTTGTCATTATTAGGGTCGAATTTGGGAGCGTTGATATTTGCTGCCTTTTTGCTTTGCAATAATTAAGTTATTGCAGGAACCAAATAAGTGTCGATTAGCCTAGCCGACTTGATCACTAACATTCAACCTCAGGGTAGGTCTATTTAAGTCCCGATATAAACTAGGTCTGTCAAGTAACATTCACAATGCACAATATCTCTTCGACATTAATAAAATAGCCGTACCAACCACAATAAAAGAACTAAACACATTCAGATAATAATAAAAACAAGTCTTGTTTGCCAAACGCTATGCCGATTTAGTGATAAAACTAGTAACACACACAACACTAGTAACTAAGGCAAGTTCACGTTGGTTGATGTTGATGGAGGTTCCAGTCCAGTGCCAGTCCAGTCAAGTCAGTTGAGTCAGTCAGTCCACTCACTCCACTCAGTCCCAGTTGACTGTCGAGGTCGAGCACGGCCACCTTAATGCCGGGGCGACTTTGACTTTAGGCACAGCCACCTCTGAGGTGGCTGTGCTTTAGGCCTATTGCCATTGATAATATATTTCGCGTAATCATTTAGTCTATGCTAGTACAGTAGTCGCCTCGTGGTCGAAAACTCGACCAAAAATATGTACTGTGCCAGTTCCTCTATTTTCACACATACTGTTGATAAGACATGTGATTGGAATTTCTTCTATTTGTTTTGATTTTCTGTATATGTTTCGTTATTTCATCACCAGCACCAGCTGACCAGCATATCAACCCATAAGGCCCATTCTAGCCCATGTTAAATTTGGTACATTTTAAATTAATTTGTTGTGCTTAGTTCTGAGCATATTAAGGAATCCTGCACTATTACAGGCTACAGGCTAATATCTTTCTAACAGTATGAGTAGATTTTCCCTGCGATGCACACGAGCTGAAAAAATATTTTTCAAGAAACATGCCTATACCTATTAATATATAGATAGCACAGGATTATAATTATTACGACCGGAGCTAGAAGTAGCACTTAACAGTGACGAAGTTTGCGTCGCTTACGCCCTTGAAATTTTAACGGTTTTACCATACCCCCCTTTACTATCTTCTCTATGCCAGTAACCTGAAAACTACTTGGCCAATTAATTGAGCTGATTGAGCTTTTTCCATTAGTAAAGTCATTGATAAAACATACTCCCGTAGTATTTGAATCCTATGTAGGTAATTGGATATCTAGGTACCCAACAAATTAACGCAAACGCGGTGCACCAACACTACCATAGATAAAACGTTGGTTAGTCTAAAATTCTATGATAATACATACAGAACGCGCCGAATGTTTCCAAATCGTATATGACGTCATGAAAATATCCCTATGTCACTCAGCCTATAACCATAGATTAAACATACTCCTCTTGAGGGGTGTATGTTTAATCTATGCTACAACTATTCCAGGTACGGTGATGGTGACAGTATATCTCTAGCCCTGGATGGTGACGGTGAATTTGGTGAAATTATTATTGTGTATGTTTTCTTCTTGTTCTTCCTTGTAGACTGCTCGACTGCTGCACATTTCCTGTTTAATCGGTCAATTTCTCTTGAGGTTATCTTGTAAGTATTGAGATATTATTATCCATAGTAATCCATTATATTCTTTAGGAACGTATGCAAAAAGTTGGTTTAAAATGTAAACCCCGCCATGATTATACGTTTTGAATATTTAGATTTAGGTTGATGGGACCGAGTATAAAGTTCTGGTAGGTCTTTAAGTCCCTAGTCTTAGTCTAGGTTATTTTCAGTTGTAGGCTCAACTTAACACTTTTGGCATTAACTTTCACTCAAGGTGTTCTACCTTTATGTGTCCTAAATATGTATATAATTCTTAGCCTATCTGTACTTTCAAAAGCTACTTTGGAAATTTTTGTTTGCATCCTGAGGTTAAAGTTGTATCTAACCCTAGAAATTAGGCGTAGGCCTACTAAGTCATCGACAGTTCTTGATAGGCTTAACCTTTCTTCAAATAAATCGAAAACAGCTTGGCAATTTTTAAATGAACACAGGAATACAAAGAGATCACCAGGGCTTATTGTCAAGTGCGTCAAAAATAAAGATGGCTCAACCGTAAGAGATTCAAAGTTGATTTCAGATCTGTTCAATGTTCAATGACTTCTTTATCAAGGTACACAACGTACACAATAAATCAGAAGCCAGAGTGTTTGTTGATGGCCCCCAAATCAGACATTCCTCTTTTTTCCTTACTCCAGTTTCATCAACAGAAGTGGCCGACGTGATGAATCCTTAAAATCAAAGTCATCCTCAGGAGTCAACAACATCTCTTCAAAACTTCTTAAATCGTGTTCCCATATTTTTCTTTGCCCTCTTGTTCATCTTATTTAATTATTCTTTTGAAAATGGGGAGTTTCCCGACTTCTTGCATCATTCAACAGTAAAACCGTTAGGCCTACAAAAAAAAGAGGGGAAAATGGACGAACTTGATGATTTCAGACCAATTTCTATCATGTCAACCTTTTCTAAGGTTTTTGAGAAGGCTGTGTTGATCAGATTGTGGTCTTCTATCCTTCAAAATGACACTTTGTTTTCAAATCTGTTTTGTTTCATCAAGAATAAATCCACGGTTGATGCAATGTTTGCTTTAACCAACAGAATAGTTGAATCCTTGGATAAAGGAGAATCAGCTGCAGGCGTTTTCTTTGATCTTCAAAAGGCTTTTGACATGGTTTCTCATGAAATGCTTCCAGAAAAACTCGAAGAAATTGGTGTTAGAGGGATAGCCAACAAATGGTTTTGCAGCTCTCCTTTCTAGATGGACGTCGTCAGAACGTTGAATTCTCGATAGAAAAATGTGGGATATTGACGAAATGTAGCTCTAATGTGAAATAGGTAAAGGGAGGTGTACCCCAGGGTTCAATTTTAGGGCCCCTATTATTCATCATATTAATAAATGATATTCCAAAAAGCGTGTCTGATGCTGAGATATTTTTGTTTGCTGATGATACATCATTGTTTGTTAAGGATAAATGTCGGAAGAACTTTAAAGAGATTAAAGCGTTTCTTGAGCCAAATGCCGTTCTTCAATGGTTTTTAGACAACAATCTAGGCCTAATTGAAAATGCAAAAAAGACTAGTTTAACTTAGTTGATTTTAGGATTTCATCTCACCTTTTTGAGGAAATCAGTTTGCATGTAGATAACGTGGTGGTAGAATCCAATCATTATGTAAAATTTCTAGGCATTTCTATCGATAGGAATCTGAACTATTTCTCTCATACCTAAGTTACTGATTGTGTGACTGCAAAGTTAGGATCTTCACTATTTGTTCTTTGCAGACTTTCAAAATTTATGAGCAGAGATGTTTTGCTAACTGTAATATTTTGCCCTCATATATCCACATTTGTCCTAAGCCTATGCCGTTGGCATTTGGGGTTCCTGAAAACGTTCACACCAAACAAATCTTTAGGATGCAGAAGAAAGCTATCAGAGTCTTAGGTCATCTCAAGCCAAAACAATCATGCAAGCGCTTTTTTCCGAAAAAGGTCTTCTCACTTTTCCGTGTATTTAGGTACATTTTTCATACACTGCTTTTCCTTAAGAAAAACTCAGCATCTTACCAAATTCATGTATAAAACAAGATCTAAGAACATCCCCATATACAAAACTTCATTTTTAGCGAATTTCCCATATAGGGAATAAGCTATTACCGTAGGTCTCATGGTAAGACCTAGACTCGGGACCGATTTTCTTTTATGTTTTGAGGTCCCCAGAAGCCAAAAACACCATCCGTTCAAATTCATATATATATTTATATATGTGTCCGTTAGCGCGATAACTCGAGCAAATATGATCCGATTTTGATGAAATTTGGTACAAACGTGTAAACCTACGTTTATTCGAACGAGTTCGCGAACCAGCATAATCGGACCATGGGAACAGGGGTTTATGGGGGGTTTTATGGGGTAAAAATGGGGTTTTCCCATTTTTAACCCTAAAATTAAAAATGTTTGCAATTTCTTTCTCAACCACTTTGTAGAGCTTAAAAAAGAAATAATTTATTGAAGCGCTGTTTTATGCCTAACAGTCACGGACAAAATTAAAAAAAAGTGTAATTTAAAATTCCCATGTTGTTCTTATGGAGAAAATGAAAACTGTTGTAGTTTACTTGTTTATGGGTATATGTTGATAAAATTTGGCAAATTTATTTATTTCATTTTATACTATTGACATATGGTCAAAAAACACTTTTTACCTTCCCCGTAGCAGCAAACCTAAGCTCTGGTTATATCTAATGTTATTTAAATTGTGAATAAATATGTCTCATTTATGGAAATATTTTAGTAAAAATGTAATCAGACAAGTTGAAATTCGCTTAGTCTGCAGGTTTGCTGCGGCGGGGGTATTTTAAATCATATGTTTTACAATTCTGTCATTTTTTTAATGCCATCCCAAATGCTCTCATGAGTGAAATGGACTTTCGTAAATCTAAGAGACAACTTAAAGAGTTTTTAATTTGTACCTAATTGTTTTTATAGTACTAAGAACTTCATTTGTTAGTGTAAACAAGATTAGATTGTGACGGTTGCCAATGCCTGTATTTGAGTTTAACGACAATAAAAATCATTTCATTTCAGAACGGAACGGTAATTTTTTTTAGGTTGCACTTTAGTTTACGTCTTACATTTACCATTAACTACTCCCCAGCTGATTATAATAGAACTGTTCTAAACTAAACCTGACATTAATCAAACTGCAGTATGTGAGTAAATGTAGGACGTAAACTCAAGTGCTGAGGCAGATGAGTCTGATTCAAGCATTTATTCTTAACCTTCAAGATTAACTTAGGCCTAACTTATTGTAGCTTAATACAATTAGCTATAGGCCTAATACTAATTCAACTGAATGCAGCTGTCCATATTATGTAAATTATAAAAAAGAGTGCATACAAATTGTTAAATATACTCTGTCACCATAATAGTAAAACATTGAGTTGACGGCATTTGCACTAAAACGTCACCAACACAAAACACTCATCAACCCTTGTACAGTATATTCATAACAATATTTGTATATTTTATAACAATAACTTATACAATGTTTAATTGCATTAAAAATCAATGCTAAAACTACTCGTTTAAATACAGTAATAGAATAGCATATCTTTGGATTTAAACATCATTTAGACATTTGATCAATTTAAAACAGTTGATTGAAAATGTTTGTTTAAATTCTTATTTACCGGTACCGGTACTTCAAATAAAATATAATATTTTATAATATTTATTTCAATACTAAGTAGGTATATTAAAGTTTTTTGAAAAATAAATTGTCATAGTAGGCCTACTTAGGGGTTAAGTTTTGGTGGCAGACAGCTAAAGTAAAATAGGCTAATCAGTATTTGATCATACCTATTTTCGGTAGCCTAATTTCCTTTTAAAGGGAACATTATTATTATCAATGATTTCTTGTAGATATATTGATATTAACAAACTGAAACTTATCTTACCAGCTGACAACTACGATAAATAAATATTGTTCCGTATCAACAAACAATAAAAAAATTTGTATTGAAATGAAACTGTTCTAAACTAACCAAACTTGCTGTAACATTTCAAAATTCCGTTTGATAGCCTATTCCCCATATGTCTTTTCTGTTATCAAACGGAATTTTGAAACGGTAACTTAGCCTACAGCAAGTTTGGTTAGTTAACACGTTCGCTGCTGACCGCTAGATGCTGGGACGGCGCCAGGAGCTGAACTAATGCTCGCCGCTGCGTAACATTGCCACCAATACACTGAATTACAGTAAAAACAACAGTAGTTATACTGTATGGCAATGTTCTGCAATAAAAGGCTTTGGACATAGTAGGCCTACTAAGTGATTCTGATAGATCAGGAAAGAGGTGGGACAAAGCCTTGTTCTAAACGACTCTGGTGGTGATTTTGAGAAACTATATATTTTTATTGTCAGAAAAGTACGTCCCCACGAGCTGCAACGAAATATAGGACGCTTGTGACAAGCTGGCTGATCCATGAAAATGTTAAACAACAATGAACTGTGACGTTCCGCAATGTCCGTAGCAGCGAACATGTTAAATTCGGTTAGTTAAGAATGAATAGTTTAATTTCTTAATCCAATACTCTAATACAAGCTATAACTAACTCAGCAACTCGGTTATTGAACCAAGTATAACTTAGACATATTTGCTATGTCTGTCTGTCTGTAATTTAATTGCGTTTGAAGATATTAAAACAGATGGAATATAGATCATAAACAAAAACAAAAATATCGATAAATCGAAAAGAAATCATCGATAATAATGCATGTTCCCTTAACAGGAAAGTACTGTATTTTCCCCCATATTGAGTAACCCTCAGTGTAATCTTTGCTCAATAGTTAGGCCTACAACTGATGTTTTCCCTTTGTACTGCATTTTGTAATGTATACTGTGGATGGCTTGTGATGATCACATGTTACATGTCCTGTGTTTACCGTTTCCTTGTTATTTTTGTTCAATCCAAATAGTTACCTATTTAGAAAAACGTAAGGCCAATGTCAAATTTTTTAATTTTCCAATGAGTTGTGTAGTGAAATAAGAATTTTCCTGAGGTAGTGGCTGTCGCCAATCACGTTTTTCGGGCTGTATAAGTAAAGTCCTTAATTCCAAAAGTTAGTCAAAATCCTTCCGCCGGATTTCGAGATATATACACACACACAGACTGACAATCAGTCATTGCTCGAATTAGAATATAGGATTCATTGTTTTTGTTTAGGCTAATGAGGAATAAACCCTCTATCAATGAAATTGATTCATATCTTTCAGGGTTATCTAAATATGTTATTTCTTTGTTTTAGGACTTTAGAAAGGAAAACATGGCCAAGTCAAAGAACCACACCAATCATAACCAGAGTAAGTTTATGCCTACAATTATATTACATTATAATGAGGATTTTCTAATTTATATATAGAGCCGGAAAAAATCGAGCAACTAGTGAACAATGAGCTGTGTACAATCCTAAATCTGTGAAGTTTACTGGTTCGTCTGCAAATTCCACTACCTACTGGGTTGGGTCATGACGAGTAGGTCTTGTGAACCGTAGGAGTTTCTTTTCAGACAAGTGTATCATAACCATTGCAAAGGGTTGACTTTAAATTTTTACAAATAATCTAATCTTCAATTAATATATTTTGTTTTTACAAACAGTACGACTTTACCTAAACATTTTTCACTGGAAAACCTGCAACTATTCTGACGAGATTCTCCTATTGAGTGCTAAGTATTGAGTTTAAAATTAAAGTAAAACTTTTTAGATATCTTGTTAATTACAAACTATTTTTTAGATCGCAAAGCCCACCGCAATGGTATCAAGAAACCAAAACGCTTCAGGCATGAGTCTACACAGGGTGTAAGTAGAATTTTCCACCACTAAATGTTAACCCATTGGCCTGGCCATGAGGCAACTCTTTCGCACAGGTCTCTATAGGCATTTGGACACTTTCCGTGTCTTATGTGTTCTATAAAGCTCTAAGAGATTACTCTACTGTACCAAAATCACGCATGAGTAGATGAGTTATTAACATTCCTGATATTCTACAAAACAAGCATTTTAGGCTAATTGTTTGTTTTTCGTTAGAATAGGATCAATCCAAGTGCCCTTATAAGAACCAGACAAAGGTTAAAGCTGTTTGGGTTTGTGGTTTGTGAGAACGCAGGCGATGATGTCAGTAAGTCACCGCGTGAGCCACCAATGTTGCTTTTAGCGTGATGATTAGTGTGGTGTTTAGTAGTGTGAGCTGCCAATTCAGTCATTGAAGTCAATCCCCAAAAATAAAAGTACAAATCTACCAGGTCAAAGGAAACGAGATATTAACTACAACAACAAAAAAGTAAACCAATGTTAATCCCAGAAATTGGCACATTTTTATAATAATCACCTGGGTCGGTCCTGTGGTTTTGAGAGCCAACTGTAATGAAAACTTGCACATTTTGCAGGTCGACCCTAAGTTCCTGAGAAACCTCAGGTTTGCCAAGAAGAACAACCTGAAACCAGCTGCTCAGATCAAGCGGTTCGAAGAACGCAAGGCAGCCCGCGAACAGAGAATGGCACAGCGAAAGACCGCTAAGAAATAGATTTTATTTTAATAAAATAACTTTTAAAATACATGTTTTGTTATTTACTACCTCGAACTTTTTTAATACCGTAGTGATTTTATTAACCCTTTGTGGTCCAATATACAATATAGAGAATCTGATGTAAAAATTATCCTAACTGCTGTGCAAAAGTCTGGATAGTATAGCTGGCCTACTGAAAGAATAAGTCCCATCAGAAGGTTTTCAATCACAAAGGGTTCAAGATTTTCACACTCAGTAACATTGCTTTTATGAAATGATGCCCTAGTAAAAAAAAAAAAAAAAACTAACCTAATACTGTACCATATTTGAAAGGAGAGAACTATTATAATAGAAAAAGTTAGATTTTTAAGTTTACCATTCTTTTCCTGAAACTCAATCTTTGTAGAAGGAATATTTAGTTTGTAGTTAAGTAACTTTGTGCACAATAACCTAGGTTATTAGGATTTTTAGTGAGGATAGCAGGCTTACCTGAATGGGGAAGAGTCCAAACTGGCTAAAGAAACGCTAAACTTTACACTGACCTATTCAAATTTGCTGCTCTTTACCATTTAGGTAATGCTGGGTTTTCCTAGGTGCGGAATAGAGATTAACATGGTTCCGCTTCTAGGAAAACGGTAACATTAAATTACCTAAGAGAAGTGGAGTCCTCTCTCCACTTCCGCGCCTAGGAAAACCCGGCTTAAGCTTGTTAAAATGTACAGTCTTGTGTATCTTGTGCCAGTTTTAACTCTTGATTGTTCTTTAGGGGAAACTTTGAAAGTTTGAATAGTAATTTCCTTTGTCAGTTAAACATTCTTTATTTATATCTTGAAATTGAAAACTTAAATATCAGTCCTAAGAAATAATTTATACTCTTAATTGATCAAGATCAAAATTATTTTGTAGTTTAGATTACAGTAGTTAATTTTTTCGGTTTAGCTTAAATTCAAAATTATTGTTTGCTATCCTTTGTGTTCAGCAGCTTGCTTGTGATAGAAGCTTGTGGCAAGAAAGATGTATCTTATTTAATAAATTATCATAATATTTCTTTATACAGCGCACAATTAAATTTATGGTACAGTACCTGCAAAATGTGGTCCGACAATTTTACCAATTGTAACATAACGATTTTAAAAATTAAATCTTAAACTTTTTATGGTTGAATATAAACAGAACTTGACTTTTTAGGATAGCTTATTTTAGGGCATAAGGACTCCTAAGATAGCAAAACTTGAAGGTGCTAAGTGTGACATACCCATCAAGATTTTAAGAAGAAAAGAAGTACAGGGTGTTTATAAAAGAATACCGGGATTTTAGATGTTCATAGATCGGGGACTATTCAAGATGATTAAATTATTTATACGTCAAATTGAAGTGGAAAGAAGACAGTTTTTTCTCATACTTTGACACTATTCAATAAAATTCAGATTTTCATCAATCTTATATGAGCGTAAAACTGGCTAAGTCTGTACACTTAGTGCAATCGGCAGGTATATCTGATGTCTTAACTGAATCTCTTTAGGCACAAAGACTCTTTTACATAATAGCATCTTGAAGTGTTGATTTAGGTATGTTAAACTGAAGACTTTGTTGGACAATCGATTTTTTTTTGCTTCTGATGCAGAATTATCGGATTTATTCGACTATGTCATCACTTGTTCTTAGCCGGCCTGGTGAATGTCTATTCAAAACACTACTGTGCCACGAAACTCATTAAAACAGCTTCAAGTTTCTTTATCAAGTAGATTAAAATTAGTTTGATTTAGCAATCGATAAAAACTCTGTAAACCACAGATTACACACTGTGCTTTCTGCGCCATAAACATTGTACTGGTGACTGGCGTCGGGTGTGTGAGACCATTGACTATATATGTGAGACGCAATAGCGGCCTACCACCCTGCACCTAGGTCAAAGTTTCCTCAACAAAACTTAGTTGTTTTAGCTTCAATTTGACGTATAAAAAATTTAGTTACCTAGAATAGCATCATTGACTATACACATAACTATTCTGTTTATAGTCAATGATAGTATCCAAGCATTTATTATTTAATATGTCGGCATTCTTTTATACACATATACATCTATAACACCCTGTATTTATACATTTCTTGGTTACTTTTAGCGTACCAACTCATCATTCCTCACATAAAAAATAAATACAAAATTGTATAGTACCAAATACCATTTGTTTTCCTCTTTTGTGTATGGGAGCCACATCTACTTAAATGAGTTTGTCAACCAGGAAAAATTAAACCACATTTTTAAAAAAGAACTGGAACAAATTTTTCTTTTTATGCGGAAGTTTCAAATTTTTACGGGATGTCAGGTGAATTGAAACAAAACGATCAATATTAAACATTAAACTTTATTTGGTCATGTATCCTGTATTTTCAGAGATCCTTATATTGTAACCATACACACACCCACGCAAAAGCGTACCAACGGAACAGCTACGAAGATCTTGCTTCATCCGGCTCTGACTAAATATGCGTGTACACAAATATAAAACAGCGTAAAATACGTTTAAAATAGAATACAGACAAAGCAGATGGAATACAGGTTAGATTGAACGACATAGATAGTTGTGATAGACACATATCGCCACACACTCACTGGTTAGCTACGTTACGAGACTTTGGTAATATACTTAATACTAAGTTAGACGTTAACTCGGTTGCACCGGACAGCACTTAAACTGACAAAAATAGTTATTTAATATTCTCATACACCTCTAAAAAATATTCACCTGATTGTGTTTTTAAAATATATTGTATTAATTCAACTAGCTAAGAAAAACTTCAAAACATTAAAACATGATTTTTCTAGATCTATGTTATAATAGGACACAATACCATTTGCTATTAGAAAAATTACATCTTTTCACCTAGATTTTGTTGGTATTCGTAATTTTGGTTTTAGCTAAAACATTGACAAAATAAATAACAAACTAGGTTTTATAGCCCTAGTTTCATTTTCTAATCTCTTGCATGGGATGATTTTCTACCTAAGGCCGTTATGGAAGGCATTAGATGTAGAAATCTTAACTTATGTAGTTGAACGTTTGGCTACTGTATAAAAAAAGGACGGTTATTTTAAAAATTTCTACAAACTATCTCAAACAGTTGTGATTCACAGCCAATAATATGTGTCGATGCAGTAATTTTCAGATTATGATTGTGATTATATTTTTGTGACAAAGGAACTATTTGGTCCGTGTACAAATCGTTTTAAAATGGATCATCCCTAATTAAAATGTTAATCGATAATACAAGGGTTTGCAGTTTTGAGTATTGTGTAAACAATCTTTTCCTATATGCTAAGCAATATTTAAAGTCTGTTAATTAAAAATTTCCTAAAAAGCATCTTCTTTGAAATTTTTAGCTTATATACATTACAATTTACATTTATCGGCTTAAGTGACAATAATAAAATATATAAATCAAACAAAATTAGTTATATCTTACTTATCCTAAGGTGAACGTACCAATTAACACATATTTCTCTTTTGAACAGTTTTTTTTTATAACTTTTTAATGAACTTTAGGTTGAGTTATGAACACATTTTGAGAAATACATGCTAATGAGTCACCGTTCGATAACAATATTTTAAAAGTTGTATATTAATGATAATTAACCAACAAAACATATAAGAACTCGATTAACTATGTATAAAAATATCAGTAATACGACTAAAACAATGTACAACATAAATCTAATCTACTCTACAATAAAACTTTCTTACAGAAATTGAAAATCTTGGTTAAAACGCGATAAGAATCACAACGATAATACTACGTTCAGATAACTTATCCATTAATGGTCCATGGTTTAATATGTTCCATTTACCAGCTTACAGACTGATAGTTCAAAAACACTAAGTGTGACAGAGTCTGCAAATAGCTAACAAAATATCTCCTTCTCCATATTAAACAAGTACAATGTTTCTAAAAACATAGTTTTGACTAAATGCATACATGACTGGTAAATTAATTTCCCAACTTATGAAATCTAAAAGGCAGTGAATCAGAATACAAAAGTGAGAAAAATAAAGTGCTGAAGAAAGGAACCAAGTGATTAAAGAGTTGGGTGCGTAAGGCTGCGACTTTACTCCGTATCTCCTCAACTCGACTTCTTTTCTTCTTCTTTTTCCTTCCCATCTGAAACCAAATATATTGCTGTTGAGAAAACCAGCTATTAAGTATCAAGTACTAGACAAAAGGTTAAAACTGATAGAGAATTAATATTCTTCTACATTTACCTGACAAAGCAGGCTTCCTTGCACTGATTATAGCACGCAAAGCAGCTAATTGCTGCATTTACTTACATTTGCCGCACTCATTTTACACTCCAATATTCCAACCAAACAACACAAAACAGTGTGCTTTTATAAAGCATGTAATACATGTACGTTTTAAAATAAGTTGGCAACACTTAGAGATACTATGACTACAATCAGCTGGTGCAGCGTTTCACAGCCTTTGAGTATTGATACAACGACTTAACCTGTTGCTTCATGTTAATATTCTATTCTCATTCAACGCTTAAACGGGAGCGCGAAGTGCGTTTGCAACACACGAGAGAAATGTTTACGGAGGCAAGTAAACATTGTTTCTCGAAACAATGAAAATAATCCGTTGTGAAATAGGCACAAATTATGAAAAAACCCATAATTTGCTGGTAGTTTTTAAAAAATTTTTAAAATTACCATAAAAATCTGGGTCGCTGGAATTTACCCCCTGGGCAAAGCTGACATCACTATAACATAGTAACCTGAGCGCTCTAAAGAATTTTACCCACACAGATTTGGAAGTCTAATGAAAATAGACTGAGCATGATAAATTAGAATCACAATAAAAACGGAATTTTACCCCCTGTTTATTTAACTAGCGATTAATCAACTGTAGAAGTATGGCCCGGATTTTTACCATTTTGGCCTGTACACTATATAGGTTTTATAATTTGATGTGTTCTGATTAAATTCACAACCGTGAAAATATAAGTTTAATTCTACCTTTAATCTATTTAACTGATGTTGTGCAACTCAAAAG